ACCAGAGAAATCTTTTCCAGTATTGATTACACCTCCTGTGCCTACCCGTCTTGACCCAGGTCCTTTACATTTCCAGGTGACATTCTTTTTTTTTTTTTCTGCTGAGGAGGATTTGCCCTGAGCTGACATCTGTTGCCCATCCCCATCTGAGTGAATTCCAGCAAGAAGTTCTCCCAGATGAGTTCTGCCTTCTGATTACTGTTGAGATAGAGTTGAGCAAAATGGAGGAAGTGATCAGATACCTTAAGCACACTTCCTGTGTTCTGGTGTTAGTATCTATGTGGCTGTGGATAGTCTCTAGGTAAACTGCCTTATGGGAAGGGCCTTCTCCTGTAGGCATCAAGCACATTTCTCACATTTGAACTTGACCTCTTTAATGTAGGCCTAAAGAAGCTAGTGTAGGCGGATTAAGTCCCTTCTTTACCAAATGCCCTGGTCACTGTGTGATACTGTCAAAAATAAGAAGCAGAATTCATGGGTCGCTTGCAGGTGCTGGGCCATGGAATACCAGCACCAGTCCCCCATCAACAGGTTCCTGTTTACTGTAATCCTGCCACATATTTTTGAGGTCTTTGGAGGCAAGTCAATCTCTGACAGGGAGCTTTTTTCTCTTCCCTTGTAGCACTCCCTTGTCTCTTCCACCCTTAATGGAGGTGTGATGATTTGTCTACTGTTTATGAGTTTTAAGTCTCTGCTTCACATACACGAGAGCCGTAACTTTCTTGGCATCTCCAGCCCTGAAATTTTATGCTATTGAGTAGTTTAACTTGGTTATTAAGATCCCAGTTCTGCTGTCAGGTAGAAGATATCTTTAGACTTTCATCACATAGAATAAGCTTCTTCCCATCTCTATGTACCATTGTTTAGCAATCAAGAGTCCATGTTAAATCATGGTAAAGGTCGGGGAGATACCTGGCTCTAGTCCAGGGGTAGCACTATATTTGAGGGACAACCCAGGTTGCGCCAAATTCAGTTGTTAACAATTTTCTAGACCAATCCCTACAATGTAATGTCGGCATCCAGTCCATCACTGTCCCAGCTCATAAGGAAATTCTCAGCTGTTTGTGTTCAGATCCAACAAGATAAAGGGATCAGTTTTTCTTTTCATGCCCCATCCCCACATAATTATGCACACTCCTTCTCTTCTGGTGGGCCCACAAATGTTAAGGACTATTGGATGGCAGGTTATCTACAAGCAAAGGATCAGTGAGAGAGTCCACACTCCAGAAAGCTTGGGCTCATGGCTCCCTTTCCTCCCTCTCCAGTCCTCCTCCTCTTGCCTGCTTGGAGGATGTCTCCTCCTGCCACTCTTTCCCATCCAGGGTGAGTTGCTCCTCTGACTACCTTCTCCCTCTTCCTTCATCTCAGTCTTGTGTGGTCATTGGGATTAGAGAAGCCAGCTCTGTTTGCTGCCCATGAGTATTTCTGACATGCATTAGACTGCAGTTTCTTTGAGTTTTTGTGCTTCAGTGAGGGCTGGGAAGAGGAAAGTGGTGAAATGAGTGAAAAAAAGAGGAGGTGGGGATTGCCCAGAAGACAGAATAATACTTTGAAATGTAACCCCACCATATGCCATATTTAATTAGACTCTTTCACTCTGATTCTGAATAATTTAAACAGTATTATTTGGGCAGATCGAAGATGAGAATAATGGCTCGAGGTCTGTTATATCAGTGGTTAAGGTGAGTGGGAAAGTAGCTTTTATCATGGTCTAAAACACTCATACCAGAACAGATGGAAAACATCACGGGAAGAAACGTGTAATCTGTGACATACGAGCTAAAAGTAGTAGTATTTTCTCTAGGTTTGTTCCATATTGTTGCCATTCAACTGTACTAGATAGTGAGTTTGGCCAGATGTTTTCCAATTAAATTGGTATAACTTATCTCTGCACATGGTAATGTCTGACTCTGATTGAATGTTTATTCTTTATCAGATTCTGTGCTCTAAACTTTACAAATATGTGTTATGTCATATGGTTCTCAAAACAACTCTATGAGTTTGTTTATTTTATCTTGGTAGATTGTAGAATCGCCATTTTACAGATTAGAAATTGAGCTTTAATTTTGCCCAGGGTCACACAGCTATTAAGTGGTGGGATTCAGACCAAGGTCTTTGTGACCCCAGAGCCTCTGCTCCTACCCCCACATCACACCTTCATATGGAAATGATCCACAGGAAAACAAAGAGTCTGGGCTGACTCTGCATGGCCCTGGCATCACCACAGCCAACCTTGAGTCTGAAGTCAGCTTGAGGATTCTGGATATAGCAAGTCAGAGGCCATGCTGAGATGCCTCCTTGGACTTGGAGAGATCCTCTGGAGGGATGGGCCCTTGAGGAATTAAGATAAAAGTCCCTCTTTGGCGTATATGTGCATTTGTGTATGGATGTTTAAGTGGGAATGTCCTAGCAAAGGTGTAGCTGATCCCATTTTTTTTTCCTTTAAAATATTTTAATTCTTTTTGGGTAGGTAATATATTCACATGAGTCAAAAACCAAACAGTGTGAGGTCTTCCTTCCACCCCTTCAGCCCAGTTTGTACCATTCCCTTTCCCATAGATATCTTTTCAGAGTTCCTTTTATGCTAATATAAATAAATGTAAATTTATATTCTTACTACTTTCCTCCTTTTCTATACAAAGGTAGTCATTTTATAATTCTGTACCTTCCGGTATTTTTTTCACATAGAGATTTATCTTGGATATCTTTCCATATCAGCACATGGGGAGCTTCCTCATTCTTATTTACAATTGCATAATATTTCATGGTGTTGGATGTATTATCATTTATTAACCAGTAGCCTTTTAATAGATATTTGGTTGTTTCCAATCTTTTTTCTTACTTACTGATGCAATGAATAACCTTGAATATATGTCATTCTGCATATGTACATGTATATCTACAGCATAAGTTTCTGAAAGTAGGATTACTGGGTTAAAAAAATATGCATTTATAGTTTTTACTGATAATGCCAAATTGCTCTCAGTAAGGATTATACTAATTTGCACCCCCACCAGCAATGTATGAGTTTTCCATAGTCCTGCCAACAGAGTTAACATATTTTGGGATTTTGGCCCATCTGATGATAAAAATGTTTGGACTTTGGCCCATCCAGTGCAATAAAATATTGTAGATTTCTTACTATGATTAAAGTTAAGCAACTTTTTGTATGTTTAAGAGCTATTTGTATATCCTTTTCTGTGAAACTTTCCCATTTTTTTCTTAGTTTATAGGTCTTTATCTTATCAATTTCTAGGAACTCTTTATATATTAGAGAGAGTAGCACTTGTCTGTGATATGAATTGAACATATTTTTTCCTGTTTGTTATTTGGCTTTTTAATTTTTTCTTCTTGATTTTCATATGGTTAAATTTGTTAGCCTTCTCTTATGTCTTATGGATTTTAAGTCAAAGTTAGAAAGTCTTTTCCCACTTCAAGGTTATAAAAGTGTTCTCCCTGCTGTAATCTAGTACTTTCATGGTTCTATTTTTCTTATTTAAATCTTTGATCTACTTGGAGTTTATCCATGTTTGGATCCAACTTTTTTTTCAGATGACTATTCAGTTGTACCACACCATTTATTGAATAACTGCTGGTAATTCACTGCCCACTGGTTTGAGATTCCACCTTTTTAATATATCATATGTCTTTTAAAATATATATATATATGTATTGTATATATTTAAATGGCTTTATTTTAGAATGCTAGAAGAAAGTCTCAATTTCCCTGTTACTGACCTAAACGATTTCTTTTTTATTGTGGTAAAGCATAATAATGTAAAATTTACTATTTTGACCATTTGTAAGTGTAAATTTACCATCTTGACCATTTTCAGTGGCATTAAATACATTTGTGTTCTTGTGCAACCATCACCACCATCCACCTCCAGAACTTTTTCATCTTCCCACCACATGACTTGGAATCAAATATACTATTCATTTTATGACACATCATCCATTTGTAAGGTGTATACTGATTTCAGAGATGTGAAAATGTGGGAAAGTGTACATCTTAGAATTTATGAAATACAGTTCTAAATTCCCAAATGTATTTGGTTTATTTCTGGACATTCTATTCTATTCCATTGGTTTGCCTCTTTATGTGCCAGTGTCACACTGTTTTAATTATTGAAGATTTAGAATATCTTTTAAGTTATAATACAGCTCATTCCCCCTCACTGGTCTTTTTCAGAAGACCTCTTTTTGCAACTATTCTTGTCTATCTGTCCAGATAAACTAGGCAGCTTCTTCTTGACTCTTGTAGATCTTCTTTCCCTCCTGCTTTCTATGTCTTTTCCACTTAAATTGTAAAAACTTGCTATAGAAGACCTTATTATGCCTGAAGATCAGCTATAAGTCTGGATCAGAGTAGCTTCTCTGAAAGTTTGTGTATCTTCTCTACATTCTTTACCTGGGTTTTTACTCTAGCATTGCCATGGGAGGTACAGTCCATTCCTGATCTATGTGTCGCTGTAAAAGGGGATGCTCCTATGAAAGTTCTTAGAATCATTTGCTCCTTTTGTGTCTTCTACATAGAATGTCAGCCTTTTTCAGCAAAGTAAGCATTGTCCTTATAATCATGAAAAATCTTAAATGTTTGCAACTGCATCTGGGTTTATTGTGGTTCACTAATGCATTTAACCTCAATAAAGTTTGTTGTTTTGCCGGTTATTCCTGTTAAGTTTTTAGCTTTGTGTGTGTGTGTTTGTGTGTGTGTGTGTGTGTGTGAGGAGGACCAGCCCTGAGCTAACATCCAATGCCAATCCTCCTCTTTTTTTTGCTGAGGAAGACTGGCCCTGGGCCAACATCTGTGCCCATCTTCCTCTACTTTATATGGGACGCCGCCACAGCATGGTGAGCCCTGGGCCGCCACAGCAGAGCACGGGCACTTAACCACTTGCGCCACCGGACCGGCCCCTTAACATTTTTAATGTTGTATTACTATAAACTTGGTTTTATTTGCATTTATAGATCACAGACTTTTTTTTGTTTTCCTGAAGAACCCATTGTAAGAGCCAGTAAATCCTGTGGAAAAATGGCCTTCAGTGATCTTACATCGAGGACTGTGCGTCTTTACGATAATTGGATCAAAGATGCTGGTAAGTAACCAAATTTCCTAATTGAGGCTCATTCTTTCTTTTTTATGTCAGATTCCCATATTTAATAGGATTTCAGTGAAACAGAATGAGAGACTTTGCAGCTTAACACTCCCTCATAGACACCCCAAATATTGATTTTTATTACTAGTGAAGAGGAAGTACAAGGGTTTCATTACAGATATGTCCAAAGATAGAGCTACACAGATGTCCATTACGATGTTTATAACAGTGAAAATAGCTTTAATATCCAGTGAAGGGAGTTGGTTAGTAAATAATGGTACATTCCAACTCAGTAGCCACTAAAAGTGATTTTGGAGACACAGTGCCCTTAGGCTTGTTGTGCCCTAATTCTCCTAAGGGAAATAACAGTTATTGCCAACAATGGCTCTGTCCATGATGATTCTTGAATGGGAAGGGCTGCACCCCACCAGGGGTGTATCAGAAGGGGCAGGGAGCATTTCCTAGGGTAACCCCTGAGTGATTCTGAAGTGCCTGCCTTCTCCCCTTGCCCATTAAAAAAAAGTAAAAATCAATATTCTAGAAGAACATTTAATACCATAGCAAGAAGTTTAAAATACATTAAATGAAAACAGGTTATAAAACACCACGTATATTTCTTCTGTGAGGGTTAGCAGTTATCACTGTGTGATAGGATTATGGGTAATTTCTGTTTACTTATCTGTGTCTGTCTAGATTTTTTAAAACCACCAAATGTGTGTTGCTTTTATAACTATTACAAAACATTTAAAAAATATAACATTTAAAACAAACATTTAAAAAATATAAATATAATATATACATAAAGAATTTTTCAATAGACAAGGAATCAGAGCATTTTAGAGCTGAATGGGGGCCTAGCCCCGTGGCCTAGCAGTTAAGTGCACGCGCTCCGCTGCTGGCGGCCCGGATTCGGATCCCAGGCACACACTGATGCACCATTTGTCAGGCCATGCTGTGGCAGCGTCCCACATAAAGTGGAGGAAGATGGGCACAGATATTAGCTCAGGGCCAGTCTTCCTCAGCAAAAAGAGGAGGATTGGCATGGATGTTAGCTCAGGGCTGATCTTCCTCACACACACGAAAAATAATAAAAAAAAAATGGAGCTGAGATTGACCTAGACATCATCATTTTAGAGTTGAAGAAACTGAGGCCCAGAGATGTGGCCTTCCCAACATCGTGGTTAGTTGTTGGCAGAAAAGACTAGAACCTATGTTTTCTAATTAGCATTCTGGTATTTCACATTTGAATTATTTTACACATATTCACCACCATCACCACTTTGGATTAGTTTCTACCTACCAACCATGATGAAATTGCATGTTCACCAAATTCAGGAGGAAAAAGTGCCTCCTCTTGGCACCTACCACAATTGGAATTATATTTCAGTTTACACTGATTTCTGCAAAGATACACTGTTTCATCATTGCTGTCTTTCTCAGTAGACTGCTAAAGGCCACTTTTATTTCACTAAAAAAAGTCCCAACAATTTTGCCCCTGAAGAATGTTAAGGATCTAAAAAAGATCCCATAAGTAGGGAAGCTTCACTCTGGTAGGGGAATGGAGAGTGACTATTTCCATATTTTCTTCTTTTTTTTTTTTCTTAGTTTTCAACTTATGTAATGATGCAGAGAACATATAGGTTTCTTTAGAGGTCATCCCTCTCTGAAGGTTTACAGTAGTTCTCATAAATTCAGTATTTAATTTAAATACTATTTTTTTGTTTTGTTCTAATGTTTTTACTTTTATTTACTTATTTTTAAAAATACTAATATTTTAATTGCTTTTCAGAGTATACGAGTACCTTGCTACCTGAACTCTCATGATTTGAACTTGGGAAGCAAGCAGATTTGGGTACCTTTTTCTGAAATAGATCTGTTTGGAAGAACAGATCCCTTGCTATCCAACGCTTGCTATTCACTATCTCAAATGCAGGAACCCAAGAGACTCCAATAATCAATATCCTAACTCAAGAGCCAAATAGATTCAGATGACGATGGATATCTACATAATGCTGGAAGTATAAAATGTTTTAAAATGAACTACTTCTGAATTCCACCACCACTTTTATTCATGGGTCAACTCTTTACTTTTTGTGAGGAATAGTTACATTGAACAGCTGAGTAATAGTAGGTCAGGAAAAGGAATGACAAAGGGGTGGAGGTGATTCGGGAGAAACAAGGAGAGCCTGGAAACAGCACGGCAAACAGTGCAAGGAAGAGGAGGAGGAGGCAGGGAGTGCTACCTATCTGAGTTTGCTAACTGGAAGTCTTGAGAGAGGAGGAAGGGTATGGGGATGTGTGATAAGAAGACCTAGATTTACCTTCTGACACTACTGTGGACTAGCTAGGTGGTCTTAAACAAATTATTTATTGTCTGTGAGTCTCAGTTTCTCTGTTAGCAAAACAGAGATGAGAATGGTACCTACCAGCTACCAGATAACATGCATGAAAGTCCTCTGTCATTTGGGAAGTATCCCAACACAAATGGTGGTGGTGGTTACAGATGATTGATAGAGCATTTTTGTCTTAAAATACTTTTTATAGAGCATATCACTTTTTTAAAAAGTTTCCTCACCTTTTTTTTCCTGTCAGGGTCTAAAAGGGTTAAAATGTTTTGAGTTGAGGTTTACGACTTTATGAGAACACTATCAGGTGTAACAGGAAAGCTTTTAGCTTCTGCTTAGTGGGGTATTGATCTCCGAGAGCCATTAGGAATCATTTCTGGCCATCTTGGTCCAGTTTTACTTTGCTTACCCTGGGAAGGTCTGAGCCCATGATCAAGGGCCAAGAATTTCAAGTGTATTCTTGGCTTTGGCCCTAATCCTGAGTAGCCTTCAGGGAACTTACTGATATTCATTGGTTTTCTGATTGCTAGAGAAGTGGTGGTCGTACGTAGTTATTTCTTGTGGAAAATTCCACAGCTACAGAATTTAAAAATGGTTTAATTAATACTTAAGCTATAAGAGGATTTATTATGATTCTTAGGTATGAAAGGTCAAATTTTGAGATAATGCTATAGTAGCATTTTGGGCCCGAGAGAAATGAAAACGTTTTTGATGTTTAAAAAGCAACTTTCCTTATATTTGGATAGTAAAAATGACTTTTCAGACTTAGTTGTGATCTTTTTGCAAGAAGATGGAGTCTGCGTTAAGATTGCTGCCGTTCGGAACCTTTAATACTTCACAAAGTGCTAGAGGTACATGTTTGCTTTTTCTTCCAGCTTCTTCATCTTACTGGTGCTTGGAATTTCAAAGGGTGTGCTCTTTCAGCTAGTACATGCCCTTAAGAAGACTCTCTTACAAGTAGTTGATGGAAAAGCTCATTAATATTCTATATATGTGGTGCTTGTACTTCCCCTGTGCACCCTCTCTCTCTGGAACACTCTTAGAAAGGAGTAATAATGTCAGAATTTGGTAATCCCTGGGGTGTGGGCTCTCAGACAGCCTGCCCTCCCATCCTCTGCTTTCAGCTCGGCCCTACTCGTGACACTTAAACCCAACTCTGATGCCAGAAATAGAAGGTGCATCATCAGCCTTTTGTCTCTGGGGAGACAGAGCTCACCTCACCCCTGAACCTTTTGTAATTTGTAGAATCACAGACTGAGTCAGCATTAACTTTAAATGTCAAGCTAGCCCGGGTGGCCAAGTGGTTAAAGTTGGGTGCTTACCGCTTCGGCAGCCAGGGTTCACTTCCAGTCATGGAACCACACTACCTGTCTGTCAGTAGCCGTGCTGTGGCAGCGGCTCACAAAGAACTAGAACAATCTACAACTAGAATATACAACTATGTTCTGGGGCTTTGGAAAGGGGAAAAAAAAAGAGGAAGATTAGCAACAGATGTTAGCTCAGGGCAAAAAATAAATAAATAAATAAAGTAAAAAAACTTTAAATGTCACCAAGCAGACCCCTCTACAACCCCCCCATCAAGTCACCATACACACCTGATTTGTAGACTTCTCATCATGGGGAGCCCACTACCTCACATGGAAGTGGGTTCTCTATTCAGAAAGGAATAACTGTTGGTAAGAGAGAAGGCAGGAAAAATGAACAGTTGTCAGAGTCATGAACATCATATGAAAGACTTTGAATTTTATTTACTCAGTAGAGAGAGCTAATTTAAGCAGAGGAATAATCTGAGCAGACCTGTACCTTTAGAAAGTGAGTCTGGCAGTTGTGTAGAAGATGAGATGTAGCAGATTGGATCAGGAGGCTGGGAAACCACGTGAAAGACCACTGCAGAGCCCCTGGTGAGGGATGCTGAGGCCCTGAATAGAAGTGAGAGAAGCACACTGAACCTCTGGATCTCAGGTCTGACAGTTCATTGCGGTCACCTCGGCAGCCTTTTTCAAAATTTGGATGCCTGGGACCCATACCCTAGAATTCTGGTGCAGTTGGATCAGGGTCATTTTTGGCCATTGATTTTTAAATACTCCAGAGCTGATTCTGCTGTGCTGACAGACTTGAGATTTGCTGTAATAATAGTAGCAACACTTACTGAGCACTTAGTCTGTGCCAGCTGTTTACCTATAATAACTCACTAAATCCTCTGTGAGATACATGCTGTATTATGCTCAACTCACAGATGAGGAAACTAAGCACAGAGAAGTTAAGTCAGTGGCCCCAGGTCACATAACAAGTCAGTAGGAAAGCCAGGATCTGACCCCGGCTGGCTGACTCCAGAATTTTGCTGGAATAGGATAAAAAAGCTTGGTGTTTTGTTTTATTATTTGCTTTGAAAATAACATGAAATTAAATTAACTAGCTTTTCCCAAAGGACATAATGATTTTTTTGAACTATAGAACTTGAAAGTCACACACAGGATTTTTTAAAAAGGTATGTGCTTAAAATGTTAAATTACAGGAAAAAGTTATTTATTTTAAAATTATTTTTTTCTGCTTCCTGAGCCAGCCCACTGTGCTTTTTCTGGCGTGTCTTCTTTCTACTGCTACCAGTGGAAGAACAGAAAGATGATGTCATTTGGTTTTTTCTCCCCTGCTGAGTCAATGAAACAATAAAATAAAATAAAATCTCTAATTCAGGAATTCCTTTACTGACATTTTAAAAAAAACCCTAGTTTTCAATCATACGTATGGTGTCTGTTAATAAGAGAAACATTTAAAATTGCCAATAAAGAGTAAGAAAAAAATAAAAGTCATCCATACTGTCACCATCCAAAGGTGATAACGTTAACATCCCTTCAGAAGTCTTCTTTTGGTATGGGTTTTAAGTCCGTATTTCGTTGGAGATAAAAACTAGATGTATCAAGATGGTTTATGATATTCATGTATTTAATGTTTGGATTACACACTGATAGAAGAAATCCATCAAAATTTGATCAGTTCTAATTCTGTCCCTTGGTCCCAGTTGTGTGACAACTTTTTTTTTTTTGGTAAGGAAGACCAGCCCTGAGCTAACATCCGATGCCAATCCTCTTTTTTGCTGAGGAAGATTGGCCCTGGGCTAACATCCGTGCCCATCTTCCTCTACTTTATATGGGACGCCACCACAGCATGGCTTGACAGGTGGTGCGTCCTTGCGCACCCAGGATCTGAACCTGTGGACCCCGGGCCGCCGAAGCGGAACACCTGCACTTAACTGCTATGCCACCAGGCCGGCCCCCTATTTTGAGAATTTTAATGAATGTCTATCAGCAAACTTTTGTGGAATTTCTGTTTTGTGCATGATACTTAACTAACGTGGTTCCTGCTGAGAGCATCAATGACTTCCTTTTGTTAAATCCAGCAGCACTTTTCAGTCCACATGTTACTTTCCCTCTCAGCCACATTCGATGCTTTGACTCCTTCTGGAAATGCTCTCTGCCCTTGGCTTCAGGATCTTGCACTTTGGTGGTTTTCCTTCTCCCTCTTTGGCTAGTCCCTCCGAGTCTTCTTTACAGTTTTCTCTCTACCACTCATTGAACATTGAGTCCTCAAGATTCTGACTTCAGTGTGTACTCTCCTTACTCCGCCCACCTTTCCTGAGCCAGTTTCACCACTTTATTATTCATCTTTTCTGTGATGACGACCCAAGCCTACATCTCTGGTCCAGATCTCTCTCCTAATTCCAGACCCATATATCCAGGTACCTATGGGGGTCTCCTTATGAGTGCTTTGCAGGCACCCCAGGTGTAAGATGTTCTAAAACATACGCCATCTCTCCCTGACCAATCTTCCTCCTTATCCTATATTTCTAGTCTCAGTGATGGTATAGTTATCTAAACAAAAGAATCTCAGGTGTTTTTCTTAACTTCCACCTGTCTCTCATTCCCCATGTTTAACCATTTTAAAAATTTATATTTTCTACCTCTTTACTATTATCTCAAAATGATCTGATCCGATTTATCTTCCCCTATCATTACCTAATTTTTTTTTATAATTTTTATTTATTTAATTTTTTCCCCCAAAGCCCCCGTAGATAGTTGTATGTTATAGCTGCACATCCTTCTAGTTGCTGTATGTGGGACACGGCCCCACCATGGCCGGAGAAGCACTGCGTCGGTGCGCGCCCGGGATCCGAACCCGGGCCACCAGCAGCGGAGCACGCGCACTTAACCTCTAAGCCATAGGGCCGGCCCATCACTACCTAATTTTTAATGGTTTAATTTATAAATGTATTTTAGCAAAGGGCTAGCTTTCCCAAATTGTGTTCCACAGAGTGTTAATTCCACAAGGTGTTAAATGGTATTCTACAAAAAAAATCAGGGTTCCCTGGCCAAATGAGTTTGAGGAATGCTGCATACCACTGTTCCCATCTTGGCAATTCACAATGAACACGAAGCACCAAGAAATCCTGCAGAAAAGCAACTTGTTTGTTTAACCTAGCATTCCCAGTAGTCTCTCCCCACTTTTTGTGGAAAGACTTCAAATATCTTGCTTCCATTGGGTAGTTTGGGATATGCTTATATAGGATACAAGGTAAGGAACAAACTCATTTTTCAACCCAATAGTCAGTTTCCCTCTCAACATTTGTTGAATAATCTCTCCCTTCCCTGCTTGTTTATGAGGCTTCCTTTATCATATATTAAATTCCTAAATATTTTGGGGTTCGTTTTAGAGCTGACTTTTGGCTTATTTATTTTTTTGAGATAGGGCATCTGTCAGTATTTTTGAGGGAAGCCCGTTTGAATGCAGGATAAATCATCTTTAATAGCTAAAGCCATGCCCTGTAATCAAGTGTCAAATGTGAGCTCTCCAGCAATAAAATCGAAGCCAAGTGAGTCATGAGTCATGGAGTCTATTGAAGAAGTTTTTACATTGGGGAGGAAGTCAGACTTGAAGGGGTATTCAAAATTTTTCAGTAATTGGCTACATCATTAGCAGTTTAAATGAGCAAGGACTATATTTCTGCCACCCCTCTTTCCCAATTGATAAAAGTGATGGTATGTGGCAACCTAAAGTTAGTCAAGACTCAGTTTTGAGTCAGATGCACCTGGAAGCTTGTCCATACTTATTTTCCTTTTTAATGCTCTGGCGTTGTGAGGCAATTTAGTAAAATTACACCTGAACTACTTAAGATTGTAAAATTAATCACATTTTATCTTGAGTTGCAAATTGTAATTGATCTAATTCTCCTGGCCTGGAACTAGCAGTGATCAGGTGAATTTCTTTTTACACGGTTGTGAGGCTAATATATTTTTTTGCTCAAAATATCAGATTGGTTAACACATTCTGGACACTTTAGGTACTTAGATGATGCTAAGTCCCTTTCAATTCTATAATTCTATGATACAGTATATGTGGAAATGTCACAGTTTTCTTGGGGAAAGAAGTTAAGAAATAGCAAAAACAAACATTTTTATATATAAAAGAATGTCTGGATGGAGAAACTCTAAAATGTTACTAGTGGTTATATAGATGGATGGTGGAACTTTGCTTGGTGTCTTCTATCCTCCAGATCTACTCTGCACCCTGTGCTGGGCCCTGGAGAATGACCAGTATGGATTATATCCATGGGCTTACTCCCCTGCCCTCTGGTTTCTTGTTGGGTTCAGCCAATGGAGAGCCCCAGGAGACTGGAGAGCGGGAGGAGGGTGGTGTTGGGGTATCGATTCTCCTGGCCCCTTACTTGGAGAATTGCCTTGTGCTGGTGGAATTCCTCAACTGAAGGTCATAGCTCCTCTCCAGGAGGGCTTCTCTGTGTGACTCTCTCCTGGGTTCTGGTAACCACTACCTCTCTTTGCTATTTGAGGCCTGGGGTGGTAACAGCCTCACTGTTTGTAGCCCCATCACTATTCTTGGTGATTTCCCTTTACTATTCCTGAAGCTAGTAGTGATCATTGCCCAAACAGTCCACTGTCAACGTTAGGATCTAGCTGCTCACTTAAAGAAATGGTGGTTGCTGTTGGATATCTTTTGGCTAAGTGGATATGTACCTACATCTTGTTTTCTCTTAGATCCAAGAGTTGAAGACTGGCTCCTCATGTCCTCGCCTCTGCCGCAAACCATCATCCTGGGACTCTATGTCTATTTTGTCACTTCTCTGGGACCAAAGCTCATGGAGAATCGAAAGCCATTTGAACTCAAGAAAGCGATGATAACGTACAATTTTTTCCTAGTACTCTTTTCTGTGTATATGTGTTATGAGGCAAGTGTCTTCAGTATTCCTAATGGGAGAATTTTGCCTGTCTTCCTGTTTATCTGTCATTATGTTTCTTGTTGTGACTGTAAGGGTAACTCTTTGAGATTTAAGGAATTTTAGAAACTTAGCTCACTAGAAAGGTATTTGCCAAAAAGTTGTTCTGTATAGATCAGATATTGAACTTTTTAGAGGATCTCAGTGTAGTCTTCCTCACAGGCAGTGAGAAAACTTAACATTAAGCCAGGGACTTGCATGTAGCTAGCCATAATAGATAAATGTTAGTTTTGAGGAAACACAATACTCAGAGAAATTAAGTGACTTACTTAAAGTAGCATAGTTGGTAAGTGGAGGACTGATGTTTGAATCCAGATCTGTCTGAGATCAGAGCTCATCCTGACTCTGTAATGAGTTGTCATCCTCATGGTAGGAACCTTTGGTTTCTGCATGCTTTGATGAGCTATAATGTGATGTTTTGGTTTGGTTTAGCTGGGCTTTGCGGGGACAGAGAACTTAGACTCATACAAAGCAGTAGGTGAGGGAGCCTGTCCCTCACTTGTCAGGAAGAGAGATGGGGATCTTCCAGGACCCAAAGGCAGACTCATGGATCCTCTTTCTCCCCCTCTGCTGTTAACATGCCTCAGCCACCCTCATTTACCTGCTTTTCTGGGATTCCTTTCTTCTTTTCCAATATAGGCTGGCTTCCTCATCTTCGGCCCCTTATTTACTTTCTCTGCAACACAGACTGTGCTTCCTCATACCTGGGACTCATGAGGGCCCAACATGGCCCCTCTGGCCTCTCTTGATACCATAGTCTCTGCACATGTGTCCTTCCAACCTGATTCCGGCTGCGAATCCACCAGATTGGGTCACCTTAAGTTTGCTCTGGCCTCATTTCTCACAAGCCTCCCTGAAGTCTGGACTTACTTTGCTGCCTTCCATTTCTTCTACTTTATTTCCAAAAGTAACTCACAAGCCACTTTTACTGTCCTTTCTGGAGAATGAGTAACTGAAAGGGAAGGAGAAATACAGATGGGGAGTGGAGAAGATACGTGCTCTTAGCGTGTTCTTTTTTTTTTTTTTTTGTGAGGAAGATCAGCCCTGAGCTAACATCCATGCTAATCCTCCTCTTTTTGCTGAGGAAGACCGGCTCTGAGCTAACATCTATTGCCAATCCTCCTCCTTTTTTCCCCCCAAAGCCCCAGTAGATAGTTGTATGTCATAGTTGCACATCCTTCTAGTTGTGTATGTGGGATGCGGCCTCTGCATGGCCGGAGAAGTGGTGTGTCGGTGCGCGCCCGGGATCCGAACCCAGGCTGCCAGTAGCGGAGCGCACGCACTTAACCACTAAGCCACGGGGCCGGCCCCTCTTAGCGTGTTCTCAGAGATAGGATATACCCTCCTATAGGACAGTGTTAAGAGCAGACCTAGAAGCCAGGAGATCAGGGGCTAGTTAGTCCCAGTTATGCTACTAACTAGTTATCTGATTTTGAGCAAGTCACTTAACCTCTCTGGGCCTCTGTTCTCTCATTTTCTGAAGTCAGGATTGAACCAAATTGTCTCTCAAGTCCCTTCATGCTCTGGTGTTCTTAGGTTCTATGTCTGATTGTGTCATTGATTGTTATGTCCCCAAATATATTTCTCAGACTTGGAAGGAATCCAGTTATAACCAGTCAGTTTTGGTTCCTATTTTAGCAATTATAATGTAAAAGAAGGTTTGAAAATATCTGAATTTGAGAGTTTCTATCTCCCATTAACTGCTAATACTTGAGTTCCTTATGTGCCAGTTTTGGGGTTTATTACCTGCCAAATATAAATTTTTACTCTTTCTTATTGCCAGCCTGAAATGTAGACATGTATGTCAAAAGCTCTGGGGGCCGGCCCCGTGGCATAGCGGTTAAGTGCGCGCGTGCTCCGCTGCTGCCGGCCTGGGTTCGGATCCCGGGTGTGCACCGACGCACTGCTTGTCAGGCCATGCTGTGGCGGCGTCCCACGTAAAGTGGAGGAAGATGGGCATGGATGTTAGCTCAGGGCTGATCTTCCTCACACAAACACACACACACACACACACACACACACACACATACACACACACACACAAAATAAATAAATAAATAAATATTAAAAGCTCCACAGACTGTTGGAATGTTCTTAAACTTAATTCAGGAAAGCGTTGAGTTCCATTCTCTGTTGAAACAGACTTTTGACCACCGAGCAGCATGTCCTCTCCAGGACACGTGCTTTATTGGGTGGAGCACGACTGCATTTGGTATAGAGAGTAAACATCTCTAGGGACGTCAGGGTAAATGTGAACAAGGAGAGAGGGAAGTACCTCAGACCAAAGGAATCACATGCCTTATCTTACAGTGATGGTTTGAACGTGCTACTTCCTTGGCACCACTCAGACACTAATAATGCGAGACCAGTGAAGACCCCACAGAAGGCCAAGTCACACAGCTTCTCCCCTTCAGTGCAGTGCTTGCTGGGCTGGGGTGAAGGGGAGAAGCAGCCATCCCTGTTTAAGAAAGTGGACTGAGAGTGTTACTTGCATCAGTCAGAAGTGAGTCTGAGCAGCAGAGAATATGAGGACGCTTGCTGACGAGTCAGGATTTTGTAAAATAGAATTTGCTGTTTCTGGGCCACATTGCCTTATTCCTTTGAGAAAATTTATTGACTTGTTTTTGAAAGATTTTTCTCACACATGAAGTATGTCTTATACTTTTCTGAATCTTAATTTTCACAATTTCATAACTTACCAAGTTAACAGTGTGATGAAATTATATTACAAACAAGCTAGGAGCTGGTGTCAGAAAAGGATGGTATGTTTTTAAATACCAGTCTAAATAGTTATTCTTTCTCCTTTGTTTCTTTCCTTTTCACCTTTAAAATATCATTCTGATAATGCCTCATAAACTTTTGCTTATAGAAGTTAATTTATTTTAAAGTTGTCATTTTAGCTTTAATGGTAATTAAAAATAGAAATTTTAAATGTACTTCAATGGCCGAAAAGGATATAACCATTATAGTGAGAAAGAAGACATTCTCAGGAATGTGTTGGCACTTGTGAGACTAGGAAGTCAGAGAAGAGAAGAACTGATCATATTGTCAAAACTCTAAATTAAGCCAAACATTTAATTTAAAATTAGAGTCCTTAAGGGGGCTGGCCCAGTGGCATAGTGGTTAAGTTTGTGCACTCTGCTTCTGTGGCCCGGGGTTCGCAGGTTCAGATCCCGGGTGCAGACCTACGCACTGCTTATCAAGCCATGCTGTGGCAGGCATCCCACATATAAAGTAGAGGAAGATGGACATGGATGTTAGCCCAGAACCAATCTTCCTCAGCAAAAAGAGGAGGATGGCAACAGATGTTAGCTCAGGGCTAATCTTCCTGAAAAAAAAAAAAAAAGTTAGAGCCCTTAGTTTTTCATGTTCAGATACTGTTTTAAAAGAAGAGCTTCCCACTATCAGACTGAAAGAATGTCGATATAATCTTTGAATTATGGTTCAGACTTATCAACAATAAGCTTTTTCTTCTCACCACTAGCCTAAGGTCACTTTGTGGGTGTGTTGGAATTAAGGCTTGCCAGATTGTACTCTTATTGTTAAGATTTTCCTTTCTTACTTGTCATGTGAATCCGAAGCAAAACTAACATCTCAGTCTTGTGTTTGGTCAATCTTGATTTTAAGAGCCATGGATTACCACTTCACATTATACCCGCTAGCCAAGGACAGGAAAACCCCAGTTGTTGCAGCCATCTTATGAGTACATTGAGGAATTTTGGTTTGCCCATTTATTTATTGACTAATTGGGAAGATTGGAAATCACCAGAAAAGACTGAATGTGCACCCAATTATTTTCCCTTTAGAGCATACAAACATATGCACGCGTATATGTAGATGTACATATACGTACATAGACTACCCTTTCTCTGCCACTATTGCTGTTTATACAACAAATTCTCCACTATATTAGAACAGTCATCCCAAGACATGGACATTTTAGTCCAAACACAGTTTATATAAATAGTATATGAGTTTATGATTTTGAAAATTCTCGTTGCCTTGATGTCATGCAAGTTCCTACTTTGTAACTGCTCTAGCCTGCCTTTCCCTCTGCACTCAGCCAAGAACGTAATGAAGACACATGGTCAAAACTACCTTTGTTGTAACTGTTGAGCAAATGCTTCCTTCTTTAATATGCGTGTGTTGTCTTGCAGTTTGTGATGTCTGGCTGGGGTACAGGTTATTCATTTCAATGTGAAATTGTTGACTATTCACGGTCGCCTGCAGCATTGAGGGTAAGTTTCTCTTTGGAAAAACTTGTAACCCCAAATCCATGTCAAAACTTTTGGGACTCTATTTGTGACACTAAATGTGAACTCAGAGTGAGTAAATGACTCAGTGATCAGAATATATGTATTGAGAGAAAAAAGTTAAAAATTACCAGAAAGAATCAAAGAAAGTCAGGTGTATAGTTTCCTGTAAAATGAAAATTGGTGCTTTTGTTTTTGAATTTCCTGAATTTAAAAATAAATGTATATCTGGTTCCTCAAAAAATTAAAAATAGAATTACCATATGATCCAGCAATTCCACTTCTGGTTATGTACCTAAAAGAATTGAAAGCAGGGTCTCAAAGAGATGTTAGAACACCCATATTCATAGCAGCATTATTCACAATAGCCAAAAAGTGGAGGTGACCCAAGTGTCCATTGATGGATGAATAGATAAACAGAATGTGATATATACATACAATGGGATATTATTCAGCCTTAACAAGGAAGTAAATTCTGACACGTGCTACAACATGAATGAGCCTTGAGGACGTTATGACAAGTGAAGTAATCCAGGCACAAAAGGGTAAATACCGTATGATTCTATTATTTGAGGTACCTAGAATAGTCAAATTTAGGAACAGAAAGTAAAATCGTAGTTGCCAGGGGTCAGCGGGGAGGAGAGATAGGGAGTTAATTGTTTAATGGGTACAGGGTCTCAGTTTCGCAAGATTAAAAGAGTTTTACAGATAGATGGTGGTCATGGTTGCCCAACAATGTGAATGTCCTTAATGCCACCGAACTGTACACTTAAAAATAGTTAAGATCGTAGGGGCTGGCCCCCATGGCGTAGGGGTTAAGTTCGTGCATTCTGCTTCAGCGGTGGTCCGAGGTTCGCTGGTTCGGATCCTGGGCACAGACCTACTCACCGCTCATCAAGCCATGCTGAGGTGGCGTCCTACATAAAAGAACTAGAAGGACCTACAACTAGGATATACAACTATGTACTGGGGCTTAGGGAGAAAAAGAGGAAAAGTGGCAACAGATGTTAGCTCAGGACCAATCTTCTTCAAAAAAAAATAGTTAAGATGGTAAATTTTATGTTATGTGTATATTGCCAAAATTTCAAAAAAATAAAATTTTCTTCCGTGTAAAAAAAATAAAATAAATTCATATGTGTGTGTCTTTCTGCAGATGGCACGCACCTGCTGGCTTTATTACTTCTCAAAATTTATTGAGCTGTTCGATACTGTGAGTATATAGTCACCACATTTGGTAAATGTTTGGTGTTTCAGTGAGAGCAATAAAGTGCTAGAAATCAGTTTTCTGATAACTTGGGTTATCTCTCCTCCTCAGGCAGACCTAATATTATCTTTTTCCTTTTATTATTATTAATTTTAGAGAATAGATAGAATAAGCTTATTTTTCAGTCTTTTGCAAACTCCACAAGGTTTTTCTTATATATCTACCATCCGATTAAGATAAGCATGTGACTGTCATATACACTACAAAACTGTGCACCTTTTATAGATTGATGATAATTGTTTTGTGAAGTTCAGGAAGCAAAGAGCAGAGAACATTTGACCTTTGATTCTTCGTACCAAAGTACTGTGTCATCCATACTCCTTTAAAAGGATAAATGCTGAGCCAGCCCTGACGGCTCAGTTAAAGTTCAGCACGCTCCGCTCGGCAGCCCAGGTTCAGTTCTCGGTCGTGGAATCACACCACCCGTCCGTCAGTAGCTGTGCTGTGGCGGCGGCTCACATAGAAGAACTAGAAGGACTTGAACTAGAGTATACAACTAGGTACTGGGGCTTTGGGGAGGGAAAAAATAAAAAAGAGAGAGAGGAAGATTGGCAACAGATGTTAGCTCAAGGTGAATCTTCCCCAGCAAAAAAAAAAACAGGATAAACGCTTCAAAATTCATAAGCTTATACTAGAATGTTCAGTTACCCCTGGGATATCAGTAATTTGGGTAACATCAAAACTGTCTCCAGCTGCCATTCGAAGTCCGTGCTTACTGGGTCCTCTCTCTTCTTGAGGACCAGCTCTGAATTTAGGTGACTGGGCCCTGGGAGAAGCAAGTGCCTTGAATTAGAGTCCATGATGAGAGGAGAAAGCCATGCACCTTTGTTTCCAGAGTAGCTTAGGAAAGCTGGATATTTACTGTATCTTTGTGGCATGTGGATCTTAGTTATGTGGAACCAGTCCTGGGTCTAAGACTGACAAGTGTGTTCTCTCTCTAGAATATATACCTCTACATTTCTTGTAGCAAATCTCAACATGCTTCACCTTCTCAGCTGAGTAATTGCATAATGTTAGAATTGGAAAGGACTTTAGTGAGTGTAGAATCCGGTGGTTCTCAAACTTTAGCATGCATTAGAATCATCTGGAGGGCTTATTAAAAACACAGATGACTTTATCCCACCCCCAGAGTTTCTGATTCAGCAGATCTTGGGTGGAACTCAAGAATTTGCATTTCTGGCAAGTTCTCAGGTGGTGTTATTACTGTTAGTCCAGAGTCCACATTTTGAGATAAGCATGGTATGTTCTGGTGTCTCATTGTGATTTTAATTTGCATTTCTCTAAGTACTAATGAGATTGAATCCGTTTTTATATATTTACTGGCCATTTTGATCTTCTCTGAAATGCCTGTTTAAATGTCTTGTCTATTTTTGTATTTGGGCTATCTGTCCTTTTTATTGATTTATAAGAGTTCTTTATATATTCTAGGTGTGAGACCTTTGTCAAATATGTCTGTTGCAAATATCTTTTTCCCATTCCATAGCTTACCTTTGCACTGTCTTAATGGTATCTTTTGAACAGAATTTGTTAATTAGTGTAGTGCAATTTTTCACTTTTTCTTTTGTGTTTAATGCTTTCAATGTTTTATTTAAGAGAACATTTCCAAGCCCAAGGCCATGAAGTAATGTTATGTTATCTTCTAGAAGCTCTATTGTTAACTTTTCATATTTAGATCTACAGTCACCCCAGAACTGATTTTTGTGTATGGAGTGAGGTAAGGTTCAGATTTTATGTTTTCTGTAGGAATATACAGTTGAACCGTCACCATTGATTGAAAAGACGATTCTCTCTCCAGTGCTCTGCAGTGTTATCTTTCTCATAAATTATTTATGTAACTGTGTCCCTGTTTCCAAATTCTTTGCTGTGTTCTGTTGGTTGATTTGTCTCTCTTTGTTCTAGTGCCACACTATCTGAAATAGAGTAGCTTTTAAGTATGTCTTGATATTCAGTGGAATGAATCCTCCAACTTTGTTCTTCAAAATTATCTCGGATCTTCTTAGCCCTTTGCATTTCTATGAAGATTTTAGAATCAGTGTGTCATTTTCTTTTTTTTTTTCTTACTATGTACCTTTAATGGCACTTTTACACTGCTTTTTGAACAAGAGGGCCTGTATATTCTTTTTGCACTAGTCCCCAAATTATATAGCTGGTCCTGATTTTTTTTTTATTGAGGCAACAGTGGTTTATAACATTATATAAATTTCAGGTGTACAGTATTATATTTCGATTTCTGTGTAGATTACATCATATTGCCGACCCAAAGATATCTAGTCCCATATTTTGAAGTCTAGCTCATCACTGGTCTTCTAAATTTTGAATATTTTTTTACACATTTAATTCTGCTTTTGAAAAAAATTTTCCCCAAAAAGCCTTTTTGTTCTACTCCTTTGTTTGTAGAGTTTCTGCAAACTACTGGGTACATTCAATCTGGATGGTGCCTTGGTTGCCCTTCCCATTTTTCCTAGGCAGCTTTGCTTTCTTTTCTATCCTATTTCTCCAATTAACTCTTCAAGTTTTTCCCTCTTCATCTTTCTTTAATAATAATTTGCTAACTTTTGATTTGTTGCAAGTCCTCTTTCAATTTACTTAGTCCCTTATCTAAATTGGTAGGGTGTGTCAGAGAGCAATGTAGAATAATCGCAGTCCTAAGTATTAAGACTGTCTGCTTTCTCATATACTTCAGAATCCATGACGATATTTTTTTACCAATAACATTTCTTTTAATAATTTTTGGCCATATTCTTCACTTTATACCTTTGATTTTTAAATCTGTATGCAATTTCTTTTCACCTTTTTAGTGATTCTCCCATGACTGGGCATCGTCCCTAAGTTCCTTCATACTAATTAGCCTTTGAGCTGCCCCTTGGTGAATCAGCTGCGTCTATGAGCATTCTATAAGGCAACCCTTTCAAAGCAAATTATGATGTGATGTATTTTTCACTTTGCCAATATTTTTGTAACACTAGATAAATTATTGGATGATTTTATATGAACTTGATTTTCTTTAAATTATTTCAGATCTTTTTTGTTCTGCGTAAGAAGAATAACCAAGTGACTTTCCTGCATGTCTTCCATCATACCAGCATGCCATGGACCTGGTGGTTTGGAGTCAAATTTGCTGCAGGTAGCCAAGGGAGAGTGGGTTCATGTATTACAAACGATAACGTTTCTCTATGCTATAAACACAGATTCTATCCTTGAATGTGGTTTCAAAGAAACTCCAAAGAATCTCTTCGATCAAACTTCTGACTTTCATTATTACCTGAAACATGAATGTAGGACTCTTATCTAGATCCTTCCCCCACCCTCTACTCTTTAGATATGCGTGACTTGTAGGTACAGTCTTCTACACATAGCCTTTAGTTGTTTTGTTTGGATTTTATTCTTTTCCCACATAGTCCCATTAAATGTCTTTAAATAAATAAATAATGACAAACAAACAAATAAATAAAATCGTAAAAGCCTTGGTTTCATAGGAATGTAGTTAAATAACTATTCCTTACATGTTTCCAGGAAGTTAGAATGTTTGTCTCAACTTCCGTGTCTTTTTTGACTTCAAATTTACAATAACTGATATACTCCTCAACTCCTAATAGCTCTCCAAAGATGTGTCAACTGGCAGTCGTCCCAACTTCCTTAAGCATCGTATCATATTAAAGGATGTTTTGATATTATTTTGTAAGTCAAAAGTATAGCAATAAGAGCTGAGGTATTTCCAGAAATGTGGTTTGGCACTGGCTTCCATTCCTAGAATCAAACTGTCCGGTTTAAACTGTCTTTTCAAAAGCTTGAGCACAGCTGATCTCTGTCTAGTATTTAATTTTTTGTTTGCCTGTTGTGCAACTCTCTGGGATAATAGCAATCGAGCTTTCCTTTTGAATATATGAAAATATTTCTGTGGCTGGTTTTTATATTAATTACACATCTGCTCCCTTCCTGAGATGTGGAGAATTGGGATAATTACCGAGGCGATTCATTTCTTTTTTCCAAACCAAAGAAGTAAAATGTGATGACACTAATTGTAATTCATTCTGCGACGTTTGCTTTTCAGAACTCTTATCTTAAAGAAGAAAGCAAGCTTAGAAAATACTTTATTAGAAAAGCCTTCCAAAGAAGATATGAAAAACATTACTAATTAAAATGTGATTGTTCTGTGAACAAGCTTATTAAAATAACTTAGAAAATAATCATAACTAGAGAAAATAAGCAAGTTAATTTTATTTGATAGCTTATTTTGATCAGTAGCCCTTACTAAACTCCCTTAGCTACACTGGTGCTTTGTTCAATTCCTGTCCATAGGATCCTCGTTTTAGGACATTTAAATGGTGAAAATTTCTAAATAGAAAATAGACATTCTTCTACCAAAAAATGGGAGAGATGCCTTGGTGAGAAAGGCCCTGATGTAGTTTGTTATCAAGGGTGAAATAGATCTCTTGAGTGTATATAATCATGGAAGACACAAATGGACTTGAGAGGTGTTTGGCTTCTCCCCGTTAAGCAGCTTGATTCCTAAACTATCAGAAATAGACAACTATTCTATTTTTAAATTACCCTATAAAAGGTGTTTTTACACCACTATAATCTATTTATTCAGGTTTCTTTGGGGAAAGAAGACTAATCTAAATGTAAATAATAAAAGCTGAGAGGTTGTTAATAAGCTTCATTAATTCAGTTTCTTCTGACTTGAAATTTGTGATAATTAAAGAATTCGCTGAAATTTGATTTACTGTATCCAAGAAGGGAAAGTTTATGAAGCACAGTACAGCATAAATGAGACATTGGTGGAATATTTAAACTACTTAAAAATAATTATTTTTGACAGGTTATTTTATTTATTTTTTTTTTTGTGAGGAAGATCAGCCCTGAGCTAACATCCATGCTAATCCTCCTCTTTTTGCTGAGGAAGGCTGGCTCTGAGCTAACATCTATTGCCAGTCCTCCTCCTTTTTTCCCCTCCAAAACCCCAATAGATAGTTGTATGTCATAGTTGCACATCCTTCTAGTTGCTGTATGTGGGATGCAGCCTCAGCATGGCCGGACAAGTGGTGCGTCGGTGCGCACCCGGGATCCGAACCCCGGGCCGCCAGTAGGGAAGCGTGCGCGCTTAACCGCTAAGCCTCGGGGCCGGCCCTTAACAGGTTATTTTAAGGGAGTACTTTAGTAGTGATAGTATCTAGAAGTATCTAGAATTACTGCAATTATGAATGATCGTTAAAAACTAGTTTCTACCATGCAACAATTTTCATTTTGCTTTAAACTTTCTGTAATTCATAGTGTTTATGAATTTGGCCCTTTTTCTAACATAATTAATCCAAATTTGTGAGATTTTGCCTTATTTCTGGAATTAAGAATACTAGAATGAAGAAAATAGAATATTTTGGAGAAAAATTTAAATTCCATGTCAACATTACTAAGCTGGATCAGGTTATACATAAAAAATGCAGATTCTTCTAGATTGAAAGAGATGCTAGGGAAAAGTTTTGTTTTTTTACCCCACCATCAACTAATCACCCCATTACCCCTCTCACTGTACTACTGGTCCAGCTAAAAACAACTGAAATGATCATTGCTTACGTTCCCCCTGGGTTCTTTTCTTCTATTCTGAATTGAATGTGGTCAGTAGGAGAGGTGGGGAAATGAGAAGAGGAAAACCAAGGCAGGAAGGCACAACTGATAATAAGCAAATGGAAGCAGTAATCAAAGCTGGTTCAATAATTAAGAAATGTTTATTTTGGAAAAACAGTAATTAATTAAAGCAAACTTAGCATAGCTAGTGAAAGCTAGTGGTTTTACTGCCAAAGTTTTGTGGCACTAAGAATATTTATTGAAGATTATTGAGAGTGGAAAAAGTAAATTTGTTTCCACACAATGACATGTACAAAAATATTCTTAGTGGCTTTATTCGTAATAGCCCAAATTGAAAACAATCCAAATATCTTTTAATAGGAGTATGGATAAATAAATTGTGATGCATTCATATAGTGTAATACTACACAGCAATAAAAAGGCAGACTACTAATATACACATCAACGTGGATGAATCTTAAACATATTGTTGACTGAAAGAAAGTTGGCACAAAAGAGTACATCTTATATAATTCTATTTATATGACATTTAACAACAGGCAAAACTAATAGTTGATGATAGAAGTCAGAATAAGGGTTATGTTGGGAGGGGTATATTCTTGGAAGAGGGACATAGGAACCTTATGTGGTGTTGGAAATGTTCTATATCTTGAATTTGGTAGTGGTTACATGGGTGTTTTCATATTTAAAAAATCATCAAGTAGTACACTTAAGATTAATGTACTTTGTGTACTTTATATATGTTAACCCTCACTAAAAAATGAATTTGATTGCTGTTATTTAGCAATGTGTCAAGTTTAAAAAGATCGACTTAGTTTAAGCAAACCCATATCATAAGACCACCTTAGGGTTAAGTTATAACAATAAATAAAGACATGCTAATCTATTCTCTAAGATTTGTATCTTGTATTTTACTAAATAAATATATTATTCATCTTCCTCTAATTTGGTAGCTGCTTAACAAGATGATATTTCATATGTTTTTCTTCCTACTAAAATTAATGTAATTATTATACTAAAATCTCAGTTCAGACAAAAATATGTTTCATTTTAAGGAACAGTGCCCCCGTTTTATGACAATTTTATTTTCCAGGTGGTTTGGGAACATTCCATGCCTTTCTAAATACAGCTGTACATATAGTCATGTATTCCTATTATGGACTGTGTGCATTGGGACCAGCTTACCAGAAGTATTTGTGGTGGAAAAAATATTTGACATCATTACAGCTTGTGAGTAATTAATTTTCTTTAAAACCAGATGTGAAACTACACTGGAGTCACTTGTCTTCCCTATGAATTAGGATACCAAAGTTTACAAAACAATAGGGTTATAAAGGGTCTGGCCCCTATATGGCATCCCATCATTATCCTTTCTATATTATTTAAACTTTTGTCAGGAACTTTGTTGAAAACAAAGCATATTTGGTAGCCAAGAGGCTCAGACAATTAAACTAGCATGTGTATCTTTATACTATTTTATGCATTTATATAAAATAAATATATTTATGATCAAAATAATCTCGAGGATACCTTCCTAGGCATAATATTAAATTAGAAGTTAGAAATTCCATATTCTAGATCTAAATCACTTTGGGGGAATGTAACTTTGAGGGAGTTATGGGCCATCTTGTGTGCCTGCCTATCTAGTCCTAACATTTATCCGTCTTTTTTTCCTCCAACTAGTAAAAGTACCGTGAGGATTAAAGTGTAGGGTGGTGGCATAATATATATATTGACAAAATTAACAATACCCTAAATAACCAACCACAAGGAAATGGTGAAATAAATTATGTTAATTCCTGCTTTGGAATATTACAAAGTCATGAAAATTATTCACAGTTGCTTTCTTTTTAAGTATTTTTCTAATTGTACGGTAATATATGCTCATTGCAGAGAAATTAGAACATCTAATTAAGCAAAGAGAAAGAAAAATAAACGTAATTCCACCACCCAGGGATAATCAGAGTTGATATTTTATTTTATTCTCGTCTGGCTTTTCTCCTGTATGCATTTATGTATGTCTTTTTGCATGATTTGTATTATACGGCATATACAATTTTGCATTAGGCTCTTTTCACTTAACATACTCTTAAATGTTGTAAAAACTTTTTAATAATGTGGGAAAATACTTATATAGAAAAAGAACAGATATTTCTTCATTAGTATTTCAAATATGTCAATGATACACAAATACACCTGCATAGAATGTTGAGGATGTTGTTTAGGCTTTCAAAGGTTTCATTTCCTCATCTGCAAAATGAGAGGAATAATTGTAGCTACTGCACAGAAATGTCATGAAAGTTCAAAATAATATAAAGAGAGTTGATGATGATAAAAGAAACTATGTGAAAATCTTTGATTAACTGGATGGATTGTGGGTACTTATTATTTATTTTTATTTATAAATTTTACCTTTCTAAAATTTCCACAGAATATATGTTGCCTTTTAAAAATCAGGAGAGGGCCGGCCCCATGGCTTGGTGGTTAAGTGCGCGTGCTCCGCTGCTGGTGGCCAGGGTTCGGATCCCGGGCGTGCACCGATGCACTGCTTCTCCAGCCATGCTGAGGCCGCTTCCCACCTACAGCAACTAGAAGGATGTGCAGCTGTGACATACAACTATCTACTGGGACTTTGGAGGAAAAATATATGTATAAATAAACATTTTAAAAATCAGGAGAAAAAAGATATCCAAAAAATCTGGACATTAGCCCAGAAAGTGTCCCTCTTAAGACTGCATAGAACATTCTTGAACACAGAGCCCCTGGGCATCACTAGGAGGGTCACCAATGCTGTCTTACTCCTTGCAGATTCTCTGCTGCTGTTGGCAGATAGGATATATTTTTCTCTATAACAGTGGACGACAAGTGCCAGATGTGAGGACTCAGTGATGCTTTGGCTCCTACAGAATTAGTGGGACTCTAAGGAGAATGTTTTTATTTCCCCAAAATTGAAATACCCGGTCTAACAACAGGACAGAATATTTGAAATTGAAACTATCCTAGAAAATAAAGCTGTAAGGGAGTGGTCCTGTTTGCATTGCATCAGTCAAGGACTCAAGTCAGAGACGTGCAAAGAAAACCTGCGCTGATGGTTCTCCGAGTATGAAAGGGCTGCTGCACTGTGCAGCTCCAGGGATATTTACATAGGGCCCCCTGGAGTTGTGCAATTTGGTGGGTTCCAAATTCCCATCTGGGTTTTGACACTGTTCTACCCACTTCACTCCCATGGAGGCTAGATTGAAAGATAAAATTCCCCACCCAACAGGAGCCTAGATGTGGTTAGAGAGTGTTTGAACATAAGCAGGCAAAGAATGCATTAAATAATTGCGCCATTGTGACTCTTCATGTCTGAGCGATATTTTTCACTCTTTCACCTGTTAGGTCCAGTTCATTATTGTCACCATCCACGTGGGACAGTTCTTGTTCCTGGAGGACTGCAAGTACCAGTTTCCAGTCTTTGTGTACGTGATTTTGATTTATGGTTGCATCTTTCTGCTGCTCTTTCTCCATTTTTGGTACCACGCTTACACCAAAGGTCAGAGGCTGCCCAAAACTGTGAAAAATGGAATCTGCAAAAACAAAGATCACTGAAATTCAAGCACAGCATGAATCGATAGATGAGACTGCTATCTTGTCTTCCTTGACAATCAAGAGATATTTCCATGTGTAGTGCATTTTGTATATTTTTCAAAACCAAGAGCTTGTATTTTTATGATAAGTTATTGGGGTTTCTGATATTTGAGAGCCCAAAGCTCCCAGATAACAGAGTCTTCTGATAATTAGAGCCTGAAGCAGCCAGGTTTTCAGCTGCTTTTAAACCTAATCTAAAGGTTTTATTTAATACATTTTGTTACAATGAAAGGAGGATATGAAACAGTACAGTACTTTTCAAAGAAGTCCGGTATAGATGAAAAATATCATTTGATATTTTGAGCACGGACAGAGATCCATGCCGTACAATAGATTCCTTCTGCCAGGTCTGGAAACCTGTAACGTGGTATCTGGCTTGGTTGCTTGTTGACTATATTCAGAAAACACTATATTTATTCTTGAGTTAAATTCCCATTCTAAAGAGCTAACACAGGGAACAGTCCAGTGAATTTTTGGTAAGTTGTCATTTAAAATCACTAACAGTGGGGCTGGCCCAGTGGTGCAGTGGTTAAGTTCATGCGCTCCACTTAGGCAGCCTGGGGTTTGCAGATTCAGATCCTGGGCGCGGACCTATGCGCCGATTATCAAGCCATGCTGTGGCAGGTGTCCCACATATAAAGTAGAGGAAGATGGACACAGATGTTAGCCTACGGCCAATCTTCTTCAGCAAAAGAGGAGGATTGGCAACAGATGTTAGCTCAGGCCTAATCTTCCTCACCAAAAAAAAAAAAAATCACTAACAATAATTTTTAATGGATCTCTTGAGTAGCCAGCAGTTTTGCTGGTAAGACTAACTCACAACGCTTTTGTTGTATAAACTGTTCAAAAGTAAAAATCCTTTCAGTTAGTATATCAATGCACCTGACACGAAGGTTAAATTAATATTTTGAAAACAAGGTGATTTGTTCTAATGGCTTAATGAACACTTTGCTATTACTGTTTTGCAATTAACTTTGTATGTTTCTGGGAAGAGGTGAATTTGTCAATGGAAAAAGTACCCTGTAGTTCAGTGGGAAAAATCTGTTGTCAATTGTATTATAATGTCACTTTCTCATATTGTCATGGTTTAAAGGATTATCTTGGTTAAAGATACATTGGTTAGGGGCTGGCCCAGTTTGTGGTTAAGTTTGTGTGCTCCACTTTGGTGGCCTGTGGTTCGCCAGTTTGGATCCCGGGCGCAGACCTACACACTGCTCATCAAGCCATGCTGTGGTGGCATCCCACGTACAAAAAATAGAGGAAGATAGGCACAGCTGTTAGCTCAGGGCTAATCTTCCTCAGCAAAAAGAGGAAGATTAGTAACGGAGTTTAGCTCAGGGCTAATCTTCCTCACCAAAATAAAAAAGAGTATAATTAATAAAATAACATTGATTTTCAAAAAAAAAAAAAGGATACATTGGTTAGATGTGTAAATGTTCATATCATTAGCATACTACAGATACCCTTAGATCATGAATGATTTTTTTGTGTGTGTGCCAAAGCGGAGCTTGCGCACTTAACTGCTACACCACTGGGCCGGCCCCTCATGAAGGATTTTTGACCACCCATCATACAGTTTCCAAAGATGGGTTCAAGTGGCTTGTGAAGCAACTGGAGGCAAATGGTGACACAGAGATTGTCCAGGGAAGATTTGGTTATATAAGGGTCTCTCTCAATAGAGAGAGAGAGAGAGAGACTACATAATAGTTATTGTTATAGATATACTGCATGAAGAAATATTTTCCAGAATTATAAATTAATTAACAGCCTGGATTTCTTTTTTTTGAACTTATAAACTATACTACATTGAAGGACTGAAACTCATTTTGCATAGATTTTGTTTCTTTAGAATTGCTACTTTCTAAAATTCTCTTGCTCTCACATTTTCTTGTTGGAGAACCCAAACTACTGGTCAATAGAATTTTATTCAAGAAACAGCAATATTTGGACATGTCTGAATTTTTCCTTAGTGCATCTTTTTTCTTGTTCTATTTATACTCGATTTTGAAGAACTGCTTTTGCTCGTATGACTTTAAACAATTAATACTGACGGGCTCTAGTTACTGTGTTACACACAGTGATACTTACTGTACAACAAAGCCTGAGTTTTCAGTCACCATCAACTCCTGTAGTTCTGTGTCTCTCCTAATCCATTAATCTATACCGTGGCCTTTTCTCTTCACACTTACCAGATGCATAAGGTTATTTGCCTTTAAGTGACCTTTAGTGATTTTGCTTGCTTACAATATGAGAAGATGAGAGTTGATAAACGGGGAAAATTACATATTTTTCTAAATAAAGAATAAAGAACTGGAGAGTAGAGCTAAAAAGAAACAGCAGCTCTAGTTTATGTCTCTGAGGGTCTCAGGGTGCCTTAAGTGTTTTCCTGTTTTGGCTTTTCAAACCCAACCTGTGCTAAAATGAGAAGGTATAGTAGGAGGTGTTATACATACACACAAATCCCAAAGATTTCCAAAGTAAGGTAAAGACCAAAATGAAGCAAAAATAAAAGAAGATAAAACAAAAGAGTTGGATTGCTTTTCTTGCATACTTTCTGGCCTGCATTGTACGACCTCTCCTAACCTCCCTGTAGTCTTTAAAATGTTTGACTTGCCAATGAGTTAACAGCAACATGTTACATAATTCTAAATTTATGAATAGAAGTGGAGAGCTAGAATGTTACATGAAAAGAAATCACAGCAAGCAGAAGCATCCTCCATATAAACATCAGTAGATCAAAATGAATATCACTGGATGTAGGGTTTGTATGGGCAATGTTTTATTAAAGGGCTCTGTGGATCACATGGAGTTTCTATTAGGGTTTCATCCCCCTCTTCAGGACTTTATTGCCTTTAGGCTTGCTATCCTAACAAATAAAGAGCCCAGTTACAAAGTCTGGTTTATGGCATAAAACTCTATGAATCCTTGAGAATCTATATCTATATTATAAATAAATACAAATGCAAAATTTTAAATATATGGGACATTGCCATTTTACAGTCTTGACTGAGTGAATTCTTAATTGAATAGACTACATTGTTATATAAATTATAAAATTATGAGGTTACATTTCCTCAATTATCCTTTATTTCTGTTAAGTGTTTAAAGACTGGAAAATTCCATGGATAGCATCAAAGTTTGGGTTTTGTGTGTGTGTGTGTTATAATAAATTTGTGGTATTACATGTATATATGTGTGTGTATCTTTCATTTTGGAATCTAACTGCATATGTTTGCATGGGTGGGTGGTTTTTAACCCGAATACTCATTGAACCAAAGCATTTTATACATGTGTTGTATACTTGCTGTGTTCAGAGCCCTGTGTAGACATTAGAATGATACAGAGATGCCTACAACATAGTTGGGACCTCCTGGAGCTTACAGACTGGCAGAGGAAATTATGTTACAGGGCAGTACGTGCTAGGTGCCATAGGAGTGAAAGTCCTGTCACTTAGCGAGCAGGGAAGGCTCTATGAAGGAATTTACATTTGACTTATATGTTTAAGATGTGCAGAATTTCAAAATGGTAGTGGGTTAGTGGGCAAGGGTAAGTGGGTAAGTGAAAAAAAATAATAAATCAAGGGCCAGGGGAAGAAAAGCATTAGGAAAGTTTAGGGAATGGCTAATAGACCAGATTAGAGTGAGGCTTCCTGTAGGAGATACAGAGAGATGAGGCCAGAAAGGGAGGGGGACTCTGACTTTGGGGACATGCTGCCACAGCATCTGGGCTTGATTCTTCAAGCAAATGGGAGCATTTAAAGGTTTTTGAGAGAGGAGAGGTATGATCAAAATGGTACCTTACGAGTCATCTGGTGGGGTGGGGTGGAGGCATGAGACACTAAAGGGGTAATTTGTTTAAGGGTGAGATGAAGAGAGCCAGAGTGTTTGACTAGAAAGAAAGAGGCTGATGTGAGAGAGCTTAGGATGGGAGAGTGGAATCTGGCAACTGATTGACCAAGGATGGGATGTGTTGCAGGGTTCAGAGAAGCAGTGTTGTGGTGTGGGAAGTGTGCTGTATCTGAATCTGTGAGGCATGGATGTTAGATGCCAAGTGACTTTGAACAAGCCAGTTAACTTCTCTCAGCTTCTGTTTCTTCATCTATAAAGTGAGAATACTAGTACAAGTTGTCCTTGTGTACATTGTTGTGTGGCTTATATGAAATAATGTATTTAAAAGCCCTTTGTAGTAACTGGTAAAAATATGAAATCTATGCACAAAGAATACAGACTCAGCAGATTTGAGTGGGGAGGAAAAGAAGGTGGGTCCCTAGCCCAAGAGAGCAGGGGTTATGGTTCTCTCCACTTCAAGTGGCGTATGGTATGTGTTAATTGGGGAAGGGATGGGGATAAAAGTTTCTCTAGATGTTTCCAGCAGATGTGACCACAATGGAACAGGCTCACAACACATCCTGTTATTCCAGGCTGCACCAGAGAAAAGACCAGAGGGCTCTTACTTTTATGTGGCTAACTGGGTGTGGTTATGGCTTTTATTGACAGCTGGTATCAGGTCAGGCTGTATATGCACTTATAACCCAACAATCCTTGCCAACTGCAATACTCTTAACATCTAAAAGAGCATTTGTGACTATATTCAAACTGCAGCATTAAGAAAATGTTGCTGTACCTTGTATATATTCTAGAGTCCACAGGATTCAGTTAATTTAGGGGACAATTTGGTTACTAAAGGGAGAAAGCTTGGTACAAGGAGTATTGGTTTAAATTGCCCAGGCTACACAAGGAGACATCCTGTGCCTAGTACTTACAGCTTCAATAGGAATGATATAAGCATCTGACTATCTGAACATGAAAGCTGTGAGCTCAGAGCTGCTGTCTTTTATCTTAAAAACTGCACGAATCCTTGTCAGTGTATCTTCTGCCTGCTTTGTGTTATCTTGTCCATGAATCTGTTCCTTTCTTTCTTTTTTATTCTTGTGCCAAGCATCCTACTTCAGACCCAAATAGTTTTGCCTATATTATAGAATTATCCTCGGTCTTTTCACATTTTTACCCAATATAAAACCTTTTTATCCTACTGTGCTGTTATGGAGGGAAGCTTGGTGTAGTGGTTGAGAGAATAGACTCTGGAACCAGGCTGCCTGGTCAGATTCTGGCTCTGTCGCTTACTAGCCACGTGACCTGGACAACCTCTCTGTGTCTTAGTGTCCCCACTGAAAATGGAAACCGTAACACTGCTTGCCTCATCAGTTTAGTGTGGGGATTCAATGAGTTAGTACAGGGAAGACTTGTAGAACAGTGCCTTCCTTCCAGTTGTTCAGGCCAAACACCTTGGAGTCATCTGCATTCCTCTCTCTCTCACTCAACATCAAAGGCTTCACCTTAAAGTATAACCAGAATCTGACCACTCTGGGCCCTCCTCGTGTCTGCCTGGCTTTCCAGACTAGCTTCCTATCTGACTCTCTGCTTCTGCCTCACCTCCCTACAATGCGTTGTCTACATCACACCCAAAATCATCACT